CCACAGCAACATATACCATAGTTTTGTTGAAGCCATGACTGCTTTAATTTGGAAGGACATACATTATGACTTTTGTTTGGTTTCACTGAGGAAAAAAACCAAAGCACTTTTACAATAATATTATCAATGAAATGTAAAATCAAATACCAGTCCAAAAGCTTTGTAGATTGCGAGGGCTGTCCAGCAGACCCTAAACTATGAATGAATGATTACTCTGACACGTGTTTCTGTGAAAGAGAAGCTAAGGGGCTAGTTTGCTTTAGGAGTAAAGAGCCCCAATTGCCTACCTCCTTAGGCCTTTATTGTTACAACAGCTTGAACTAAAATTAATCTCTCGATACAATCAGCAGAGTAAGCATCCTTGAGAAAGTACCTGTATCTTTAATGTCTTTCAAACGAGGACATTTTGAAGTCTAAACGTAAAGATTTTAATAAAACACCAAGGGGGTCAGACTTGTTTGGAAAAGTCAAGACAGGGGCTGGCCACTTTTGGCAAAGTCCCCCAGAGGGCCCTGACCTTCTGAGATTCCTCCTTACAGGCCTTCCTACCAAGTCCCATGCTTCCCCACAGTGGATCTGAAATGTTTTGGAGAAATTTTTGTGGAGTTTTAGATATTTCCTAGTTTTAACCAACATGCATCCTTAGGTGAAAACAGATACAACTCTGTTGAGATTAAGGTTGGTTGAACCATTGCCTGTGAGGAAACACAGTAAACCCTCAAGTTTTCAGACCTTGATTTAACTGACTTCAAATTTAACAGACAAAATTTCTGGTCTGTATGTCATATGTGAAAATTAACACCCAGTTAATTTTAAAATGCTTTTAACCAAGATTTGCTTATAATTATATTAACAGGTTTCTTTGTTATAAATTCACTATTATTTTTAATTAATTTTTGTGAGTAGGCCATATGTTGGAAAAAACACTGTAGTAATTTTGCTGATATAAATAAATATGTATCTATACAACTATAGTCTACATATTTAAATCCAAGGGTCACCACTCCTAAACAATGCTTGGGGGAATGATTAGCACATGATCTCACCACATCAGCCCACTGTAATTGGTCCTATTGTTGTGTAGCATAACTTTCTGCAATAGGATTTTTGTTTTTGCTTTTTTAATGTATTTTCTTATTGTTAGAGAGAGGGTAAGGGAGAAGGATAGAGACATAGAAACATCCATGAAAAAGAGACATTGATCAGCTGCTTCCTGCATATCCCCTACTGGGGATTAAGCCCTCAATTAGGTATATGCCCAGACCTGGAATCAAACCTGGCACTTCTTAGTTTATGAGTCGGTGCTCAACCACTGACCCACATCAGCCAGGCATATGCAACAGTTTTAACTCTGTTTCCAAACATAACATTTTATTACTTCATTGTTAGTAATCTATTTTTTAAGAAAAATTAATGGGCCGAAACCGGTTTGGCTCAGTGGATAGAGCATCAGCCTGCAGACTGAAAGGTCCCAGGTTCGATTCCGGTCAAGGGCATGTACCTTGGTTGCGGGCACATCCCCTGTAGGGGGTGTGCAAGAGGAGGCTGGTCAATGATTCTCTCTCATCGATGTTTCTATCTCTCTATCCCTCTCTCTTCCGCTATGTAAAAAAATCAATAAAATATATTTTTTTAAAAGAGAAATTAATGGATAAAGTTATTAAATGCCTACACTATGCCATGCCCTATACCAGGCCATGGGGATAGGAAGATGAACCCGACCTAGTCCTACTATCCAGAAGAGGCAGCATTTATGCAAAGAGAGAATTAAAATTTAATATGATAAAAATTCAACAGTAGGAGTGAATAAAAGGAGCTATGTGGCCACAGAAGTCAGTCTAGATTCTAGAGAAACTCTGCCTCGGTGGACCACAGAGATGCCTCAGGGAAGATGTCTAGGTCTTGAAAGACATTCAGAAGGCTAAGAGGGAGGGAGGTGCATCCCACTAGGGTGGACAAAGCCAGCTCAAAGACGGAGGGAGGAAAACCTTACTTGTCACCTGCGGGAATCGGATTACATTGAGCACAAAGGGAAAAAATGAAGTATCTCCATTCTCACTTCTCAGACATGAAGTGAGAATGGAGATACGTTATCAAGGTTTCTATGGGTAATAGATAGCGAGCAAATGGTTTTATTTTTAGTATCTATTTTATTTTTTAATAAGAAAAATATTGACATAGTTCAAAAATCAAAATACAGGAGAAAAAATGCATTGACTCCATGCCCAGTTTCCACTTCCCTTAACTCAACATTATCAATTTTCTTTTTTCTATATAGATACATATTTGTGGCATATTTAAGCATTATGAATATGTGTTTTCCCCTTTGTTACACCAAGGATAGTTCACTGTATACAACATTGTACAACTTGGGTTTGTTTGTTTTTCTGCTTAACAATGTCTTGGTACTATCTCCACATTTCCCTTTCCTGGTTATGTTTTATAACTACATAGTATTCCATTATATGGATATATCACAAATCACTTACCCAATTTCCTCTTTGCCACACTTTTAGATTGTTCTCAATATTTTGCTGTTTCAAGCAATGCTTTACTAAATGATTCTGTAAACATCTCATTTTATCCAGTATGTCTTCAAGAATAATCTCTGAAGTGCAGTTGCTAGGTCAAAAGCTACATTAATTAGGTTAAGGTTTGCTACAACAACAAACAACTCCCAAATCTCAGTGGTTAAACATAATTTATACTATGTGGCTGTCAGGAGGTCTGTTCCACACAGCCTCTCGGAGACCCAGGCTACCACATATTGCCATATGCACCTCTATAGGGGCTATAACTTTCGTATTTCCACCAGCCTCTGTCTTAGGTGTACCTTGTAGGTCCTGGACAAAGACCTATACTATTGATAGTTAGTAATAATACCATGAGCTAACATTTGATGAGCTCTTATGTTTATAACTATAGCAAGCAAAGTACATACATTCACTCAAAACCTCACAGCAACTCATGAGGGATTCTTATTTTCACCTTATTTATAAAGGAGGAAACCAAAGGATGGAGAAATTCCTAGCTCAAGGTCATAGAATTCCAAACTCAAGACTGAGTTTAACCCTTGTAATTAACTACTGTACTACCCTCCTTTACAGTCTACAGTACCTATGTTTCCTGATAAGACTAAAGGTAGCCTTACTTCGGTTTGCCATCAACTGTCTAAAGAAAATGGCACATAATGAAATCTCCAGGTTTATATATAGGACCAAATGCTTTCTGGCACAGTCTCACAAGATTGGGTGAGGGAATGGCTGGTGAGTTGTGGATAATTACAATGGAGCACAAATAAGTGAACTTACTCCAGAATGTGTGTCTACAGCAAGGGCCACTGGTCTGGGTCAGTGGTAGGCAAACTCATTAGTCAACAGAGCCAAATATCAACAGTACAATGATTGAAATTTGAGTGCCAAGTTTTTTTAAACTTAAACTTCTTCTAATGCCACTTCTTCAAAATAGACTCACCCTGGCTGTGGTATTTTGTGGAAGAGCCATACTCAAGGGGCCAAAGAGCTGCATGTGGCTCGAGAACCACAGTTTGCCAACCATGGGTCTAGGTGATCTGAGAAAGGGATGTAGGTACTAGTGGAGACAGTTCCCTGAGACTCTGAACAGAAGCAGCACTGTGCCATGGAGGTGAGGTTCTGAGTTTCACCTCTGTACTTGTTGACTCACTTTGGGCAAATCATTTCCTCTGTGTGTGATGTCCTCATCCTGCATTGAAGGGAGGCTCGGGTGGGGGGGGGAGATAATCATGTGATTTAGGAACATCCAAGGCCCTGGGCTCTGCTTCCTATAGAAAATCCACCCTATATCATTTCCAGCATATTATAGTGATCCACATCCCCACTAAATGAATAAGTTTTTTGCAAATATTTTGAAAGATTTTTTTATCATTTTTGTCTAGAATTAAATTTACGTATGCAAAATTTATTCAGTTTGATAGCTGTTGATTACTTGGTAATCATACCTATATAGGAATCCCTCACAAAATGGAAAAAAAAAATTTTTTTTAATTCACAAAATATTTTTAGCTTGTCAGGAGTGGCTCAGTGGTTGAGCATCAATCCATGAACCAAGAGGTCTCAGGTTCTATTCTTGGTTAGGGCACATGCCCAGGTTGCAGGCTTGATCCCCAGTAGGGGGTGTGCAGTAGGCAACCAATCAATGATTCTCTCTCCATCATTGATGTTTCTATCTCTTTTCCTCTCCCTTCCTCTCTGAAGTCAATAAAGATATACTTAAAAATAAAATAAAGTAAAAATGTAATGGAACTTTGTTCATAGTTTAACAGTAAGTGATCTGACATAATGTTAGTTTATAACAGCATTTAATTAAATTTGTATTAGTTTTGATTTTGCAGATTTATTCATGGCTTAATGACAGTGACTCTTTTCCAAGACTCAGATACCTTATCTTTTTGAAAAGCTCATAAGCCAAGGCGTGGCCCTTACAGTGTAGTAACACCTGGTCAGTGCCCTCGCAGGTTACATGTGGATTGCTGTGAGTGAGGAGAATGAAAAGCTATGTCTTTTAGCAAGCAGGAGGTAGAAATCGCTGCCATGAAACCCACTGAGGGAGAGGACCAGGCTCTGTGAGGCAGGCACTGACAGAGTCAAGGGCTCACAGCCTTAGATTTTCCTTTTTGCATATTCAGTGTGTAGTGGCTAGGCTCTGCTTCTGGAAGCTTCTGTGGGAAATCATTACTTTGTCTTTCAGGGCAGGGAGGAGGAGTACCCAGTGACAGCTGCCTGGGTCTTTGTGTTCTATTTCTTGGAGTTTAGTTTCTTTTGCTCCTGAGGTATTGCCTGGTCTGCTTGAGCTGCTGTAACAAAATACCAGCGACTGGGTGGCTTAAAAAACAGACATTTACTTCTCACAATTCTGGAGGCTGGGAAGTCCAAGTGCCAGCAGGTTGGATGTCTGGTGAGAGCTTTTGTCTTTGTCTATGTTCTCACTGGGCCTTTCTACATGGGGAGAAAGAGACAGAGAGATCTGGTGTCTCTTCTCATAAGGCCACTAATCCCATCATGGGCCACCACCCTCATGACCTCATCTGAACCTACTCCCCTCCCAAAGGCTCCATCTTCAAACACCATCACACTGGGAGTTGGGGCTTTACCATATGGATTTTGTGGGGACACAAACATTGAGTCCATAACTGGTACCCTTGGGTGCATATGGCCTAAACCAGATGCGATACATCCTGTCCCTCCTGTTAGTTAAACAGAATACATTTGAATTATTATAAAAGGGAGTGGGTATTCTTCATCTGTGAGTTTCCCCTGTTCTTGCAAATAGTCTTTAGCATGACCTTTGGGGACATCTTAAATCTTAAAAAATTAAAGTTTCTGGGGAGAGGAAAAAATAGGCGCTGCCTTGTAAGGAAGGTAAAGGTTAAAGTCTGTGGGACTTGGCGGGAAGTGAGCCTGTGGCCACAAAGGGAGCACAGCTCAGAGAAAATGACACAGCAGAAAAGGGCCGGCAGCCTTGCCAAGCAGTTTCCGCTGACATTCCAGAGGCCCAAGCAGCCCTTCTGGTTTCCTGGAATGCTTTCATTCAGTCGTCATGTGGTGGCTGAGGAAAATCCCTGCAGCACCCATGGGTGACCTGGAATAATACCTCCTCCGCCCCTGGAACAGATCCCCCTGGATGTGCACAGGGCGCTGGCATGCTCGGTGGCACAGCCAAGGACAAAGCGGCCAGTTGCATGCAGGCTCACTCAGGGGCAGGGTGTCTCACAGCCACCCTCGCAAAGGGACAGTTCACACCACGTCACCAGCACCCACTGTCTCCCAAAGGGGCTGTCAGACCAGAAGGCAGGGCCTAACGTCGGTCAGGCTCGTTCTCTATGTCACGAGAAAGGTGGAGCAGAGGCGCCTGGGGGAAGTCTGGTTTTCCCTCAGTGCTGGCATTTTACTCAGCTCATCGCAAATGCTGTCACTCACCCAGAAAGGTCCAAAATGCGCCTTACTTCCGCTGCTGGAGCGATGGGATGTGGCAGCAGCTGTCTGGGTGACATGGAGGCTGCCCAGGAGGCAGAGGAAAAGTACCAGGTCTGACCAGCCAGGCCAGGGAATGCAGGCAGCCAGGGGGAAGGAGAGCATCCTGGCTGAGGTCGGGCCATGCCTCCTACTGCCGGGAAAAGTCCCATCAGCTGGGCAGCACAGAGAAAGGCTCTCCTGGGAGGGGGGACTTACCCTGTCCACAGAGCCTTGAAGAACTTCAGCAAGAGATGTTATTAGCAGAACTTAACATGGGTTAAATGTGTTATTGGATCCCATATATCTATATATCTATCTCTATCTATTCCTCTATATATAAAGCCTGGAAATAGGAGACGGTGAATATCAAAGATGGTGTAAATAATAGCCATGAATTTCAGTTAATAATGCTAACTGCAATTAATGACAATTAGTAATAATATCACTAAGCATTTCCTTTCATCTGGGTCCTGTGCTAGGACCGGGACATGCATTATTTCACTTAACCTTTCAACAGCTCTGTCACAGAAGTGCAGTTAGCATGCCATTATAGATGGGGCACAGATTCAGAGACCACTCATCACTGATGTTTCTGTTTCTCTATCCTGCTCCCTCTCTGGAATCAATAAAAATATATTTAAAGAAAAAATAAAGTGTGACCTCGGCCTTTTGGTCTCAGGTTAGGCACAAGGGAAGGCAGAGAGGGTCAAGGAAAACTCCCAAAGGCTCCGTCTTCGTCTGCGTAAGCAAGCAGGAGCATGTTAGCTGATTCCCTGGAGGATTTTTGGCTCGATACATAATTCACAGCCAGTCACAGGAATCCCACCAAGTCAGGGCACACCCTGGACACAGAGGAAATAAAGAAGCAGACAGCGAGTGTTTGTGTTGGATGCCCTTTGCGAGGGCCATGTGAGAGCAAATGATTTCATTCTCGAGGCACGGCTCTGAGAGGGAAGTCAAACAGCCCACAAGTTGAAACAAATCAAACAGCCTTATCTTCCTCTTGATTCATGAGTTCCCTTTTCCTTCAAAGCCCTTTCGAGGCAGGACGCGGTGACTTGTCATTGTGAGAGTGAGTGCAAGGTCCTTCCTGGGACATGCGGCCCTGGTGACTTACAGGACCTGGAAGCTCTGACATTTTTCCTTGACAAACCTTTGTTCACTAACCAACACGGGCTTTAGATACATAAACGTAGAAACACACACACACACACACACACACACACACACACACACACTCACACTAAGTGCAATGAGCCAGTCACAAACAGGACACCCACACAAGGGACCTAGAGTCATTCAATTCATGAGACAGAACGGAGAATGTAATGCAAGAGGCTGGAGTCAGATTTGTGTGATTTGCCTGGAGATTGACTGCACAATAGTGTAACTGTACTTATTGAACTGTACATTTTAAAATAGTTAACACGATAAATTTTGTTCTGTATATTTTAGCACAGTTTAAACACACACACACACAGAGAGCATCTCTCCTCTTCTTATAGCCTCAGTGCTTCTCTGTCTTTGCACATGGCTAGCAGGGCTTGCTTACAGCATGGGGCCTCAGGACAACTGGACTGCTTCTGTGGTGGCTCAGGGCTCCAGGCAGGGAGTATGGTAGACATTGCATCACCTTTTTAGCCTCAGACGTCATGCAGTGTCGCTTCCTTCACACTCTCTTGGTCCCAGGCAAATCACACATTTCCCCGAGTTCAAGGAGAGGAGAATTAGACTCCACCTCTTGACAAGAAGTAGCGACATTCTAGAGCAGGCTTAGCAAACTGCTCTCCTGTGAAGTCTGGCTCACCTCTTCGAGACGGCCAGCCTGCTCATTTATATACGTCTCTGCCGCAGTGGCTGAGCTAAGTGTTTGGGACACAGATGGCCTGGTTCACAGAGTCTAAAATATGTATGGCTCTTGATAGAAAAGGTGGCTGGCCCCTATTCTACAAGAACATGTCATATGGAAGATATTGCTGCAATCGCCTTTGATCATTGCCATCTGCTACAGGCAGGGTACCAGCCTCTGAACTTGACTTTCAGCTCCGTATCTGTAAAATGGAATGAAGAGCATACACATGTAAAAAAACACTGAGTACAATTCCAGGCCTGTAACAGATAAAGTGTAAAATTCAGCTCTGCCCTGGCTGGTGTGGCTCAGTTGGTTGGGCGTCATCCCATGCATTAAAAGGTGCTGGTTCAATTCCGGGTCAAGGGCACATGCCTGGGCTACAGGCTGGATCCCCTGAAACCAGGAGACAGCCCATCCATGTTACCCTCTCACACAGATGTCTCGCTCTCCTTCTCCCTTCCTCTCTCTCTCTCAAAATCAATAAACTGGGTTGTTGTTGTTTTAAGTCAGTTCTTCCCTTCCTAGTCTTAATTATAATTTGGAGAGCCATGGAAATGTGTTTGCTATAACTATAGGTCTATCAGCAATATCAGAAATTCCCTGTTTCAGACGCTCCCTGGAATTAAGGCAGACTTTACAGAGACTGCCTTTTAAAATACATGCTTCGTACTTTGAAAGAAAGGAATGTTTCCAAGAATTCTTTTAAATATGCAATCCTCACCCCCACCCCTCAGTGCATTCCTTTGTCAGACTTGCTATATTTTTACTTTTCAAAGAGCAAATACCTAAGGGAATGAAAGTGATCTGGGAAAATTAGGACTGAGCAAGTGGGGAAGAGCAGGGTGGCGGCAAATCTCCGATTGCCGATAGCAAGACTGGAGACGTGTGACCTCCTCACAGCTGTGCTCAGGGCTGCTTCTGCCTCAGACAAAGCATTGAAAAATGTTTTCTTGGCTTCCCCTTCCCCTTTGCCTCCTTTTTCTATTGCCCAGACTTGCTATCTCTGCTCCAACCTCCTCCCACCTGCCAAGATCTCCTTGAGTCTTTTTTCTCTCCTCCCGTGGAATTTCCAAGGCCAATCCTCAAGAGATTGTTCACCTATGACCCGTCTTTCCTCCCCCTGGTCCCATCTCCCCACCATTCCCAGATTGAGGAGTAAGCTTCTGTTCAAGCAAACAGAGAGCTCTGAAAACAGGCACCTACTGTGCTAACATGACACCTTCCAGTCCCCGTTTCCTACCCATTTTCTCCAAACCCCTAAAACTGTCAGTTCTGCTTATGCGCCACTTAACAATTATAATATGTTCTGTCTCCTCTTCCAGTTCCATTAAGACTCCAGTGGCTTTTGAAATCTACTTAGCAGCAGTATTGGAAGAATTGGATTTTTAATGCAGCTATTTGTCAACTGATTACTTTCATGTCAAATATTATGAGTGTTTTGAGGGGCAGTTGGGAGGGGGGAGTTGGCAATTTGATTAGAGACCATCCCCTTTGGTTCAATTAATTTTTACAGCTTCTTTCCCCCTCCCGTGTAGCCCAAATTTGCAATTTTATGCAAATTTTGGGAAATAGTTTGTAGTACCCCCAGAGTCCCAACTCAGTATCAGCCAAAGGCCAAGTCAACTGATGCTGCTCCAGGAAGAATTGTGGTTTGGAAAAGGGACTCCACTGGCTCTGGAAGCAGAAACAGCCAGCACTGCTGCTGCTGGCGTGGGTCCTGCTGTCACAGTTGCACGGAGTTTACAAGGGGCTCTCCCACGGCCTCCCTCCTCGGTGTTCAGAGGCAGCCCTGGCCCAGCGGTGCGGAGGTCACACGTCTCCAGTCTGTCCTGCCATAGGCAACCGGCGGTGTGCGGCCGGGAACCCTGCTCTTCCCCACTCGCTAGGTCCCAGTTTCCCCAGACCCTTTCATTCTCCTGGGTCAGCCATTTTCAACCTTGTTCATCTCACGGCCCACATAAATGAATTACTAAAATTCTGCAGCACACCAAAAATATGTTATATTTTTGCCAATCTGACCCCCGAAAAAGTATAATTTTTAATCATTCCCACCGGATGGCTATTGTTGTGTTGGCTGTTGTCACTGTTTTATTGACAACTTTAAGGGAAAAGAGGTCAGGGCCCTGACTAAATAGTCAGGTATCGCATGTTTTAAAACTCTTGCAGCACGGCAGTTGAAAATCACCACATGTGTGGTAGAATCTGCCGTAGAGAATTGTTCAATCCAACAAGCACATAGAATCGGGAACAAAACTCTACCTCTGGTCACTGTGAGTACTGGAATAAACAAGACCAGAACAAGCCAGGTGTGATGAATTCTGTAATAAACATATGTAGGAGGTGCTAATGGAACCAAATTAAGTGAATCTTGATGAATGAACAGTTTTCCAAGCAAAGAAGGACACTTAGTATATAGAAAGACATCACATAGGTGCCTAGACCAGTGGTCGGCAAACGCATTAGTCAACAGAGCCAAATATCAACAGTACAACAATTGAAATTTCTTTTGAGAGCCAAATTTTTTAAACTTAAAAATTCTTCTAGCACCACTTCTTTAAAATAGACTCGCCCAAGCCATGGTATTTTGTGGAAGAACCACACTCAAAAGGCCAAAGAACCACATGTGGCTCGAGAGCTGCAGTTTGCTGACCACGGGCCTGGACAAACAAATAAGTAAGCAAATAAACAACATTTAAAAAATAACATCAAAGTGTCCTGGCCAGTGCGGCTCTGTTGATTGAGTGTCATCCTGTGCACCAAAAGGTCACCAAGTTCAATTCCCAATCAGGGCATATGCCCAGGTTGCAACCAATCCATGTTTCTCTCTCTCTCTAAAAAATTAATTAAAATATACATTAAAAAGCCAAAGTGACTTAACTGGTAGAGGCATTTATTTAAAAAAAAAAAAAAATAGCAAGCCATCGGAAGGGCAGCCAATGAATGTATCAAACCCAGCTCCTGCCATCTTTTCACCCGTGAAGATCAGTGTGGGTTTGTCTTGTCAGGCAAATGCTCCTTGTGGTCCCCAGACGTGTGGCAGCCCCACAGCTCCGAGGATCTCTTGCTGATGACAATGTCCTGAGGAAGAGAGGGATGTCCCAGACTGTGTCACTGTAAATGGGAGGTAATTCCCACCAGACTTCCCTTCTCGTCCCTTCGTCCTCCAGACCAATGAAGACTCAGGCTCCAAA